GATGTTTCAATCGAGGGTTGCGGGTTCTTTGAGACCAGTAACGGCAGTTTTGCTTGTTGACGTGGCCGTTTAAGTGAAAATGAGCCTCGTCGCTCCAAAAAATGGGATTTACAGTACGAAAACGCTCAAACATCGTTTCACAAAAATTTTTGCGTAAATCGTAGTCACTTTCCTTCAGTTCTTGAACGATTTGAATTTTAAAAGGATGGAACTTCAGATCTTTTTTAAAACATCATGAATAATCGCTCTTGGAAGTCCCAGTGAGGCTGCTCTTTTCCGTACTGAAAGTCGCGGATTTTTAAGTAAACGGCTTTGAACCAGTTCAATGTTTTCGGGAGTCCTTGAAGATCAACTGGACTCTAGCGATATTTCTAGGCGAAGCATTTGCGCGGAATCTCTACACCCACGAACGAATTAAATTTACATTCGGTCCGTCACTTATTCGCCGAATACCGAACTTGGAGCAAAATTGTCGACGAGCAATTACGTAAGAATCATTACTCTTAAAAATGTCTTTACAGTGAACGCGCGATGCTCACTCGACCATTTCGACATTGGGACTCACGAATCCCATAATCGATAATTCCAATGGCGCCACCCTACCTCCGCACCGTTTATTACTTTTTGAAATAATCGTATTTAGAAATACAAATTTGCCACCAGATATTCCCTTTGATATTCGCTTCCCCAATCTTGTGAATAATGTGGGGAAGGCACACGGCTCCGTGAAAACAATTCACCAACGCCGTGTGCGGTAGCGCCAAAAAATCCACGCACTCCCCCTCGCCGCCTCAACCGCCGCGACGTGTGAGTTTTTCCATCACCACCAATTACACGGTCACGAAAATTCTGCCGCAGAGCGCGTTGTAAGTCCACTCATGTCACCCCAATCATCCTCAATGGGTATCATAATATTGTCAAAAAGGGTATTTGCGATAGGTTTTGTTTATTTTCTTGTCCAAGAACGATATCAGCTGCTTATTACAATTAGGATTTCACAAGTGATTCTCCGACAATATGGCTTTTCTTTGCCTACTTTCTTTTTCGGCATACATCATTTTTATGCTTGCCGCAAATGTTTTTTGCACTAAGTGTAGGTCATCTTTGACGTTCTTTTTTTTTAGAGGTTCAGTACCGTCTTTTTTGACCGATAGTTCCTCTTCTTATGTTGTACAATCCTGTGCAGTGAGAAAGGCCTCTAGTCTCTTTATAATCCATGTCATAGTCAGTCGTGTACAGAGTTTATCATATTGTTACTACTTAAATTAGATTTTTTTATACAACATTTAGGGTCTGTTTCACAATGTCTGAATAAAGTGTTGGATACGTAACTGACAAATAAATTAACGGCCAATAAAACTTCCTATTAAAATAGTATGCGTTTCACAAACGTCTTACCATTAAGTTTATGTGTCAGTTTGTTACTTGTAAGATTGAGATGGCAACGTCGCATTTTGGCGTTTCGATTTAGAGGAAATGTGAGAACATACAACATTTTTATAATTTAATCAGTCTTGTAAGCATTCACATAATGCATTTCTTTTTTGCATTATTTTGTGTTACATACTCTTAAATAATTATAATGATATAAAATCATTTTTTATATTAATTGCAATATTGTGCAACACCACACTTGCTACAATTACAGACTGGACACGAGACGAATGTATATTATCTTTTTTGCTAATATAGGAACCCTATTTTTACAAACAACGTAAGTCCGCTCAAAAAGATTCCTACTTCTTATTCGTTATAGAGATGTTCTGCTGTTGTGACAGGATTTTGTAGTGGAGTCAACAGATAAAATGTATTTTCTTAACCTTTAACACCAACAAATACACTATTACCAAATTCTCTGTTCAAAAATCTTTGTTTTATAAACGAATTTTTAAATATGGTTTGGTCGTGTGTGGCTTCAGGCTATCTAGCTAATATGTCCATTATTTTCAAGTCTGAACCAACTATTGTTTGAACATTGAACGAGAATTGGCGTTTTATGTTCCGATAGCTTTCTGCATTGTCACCACCTGTAGATTTTATTGGGACGTGGGTACAATGCATGGCACCAATAACCCTTGGAATTCTAGCTATCTATACTGAAATATAAGGAGACATAAAAATATCCTTATAATTCAGTAACATCTGTGAACTTATCAAGCTGTACGGACACAGTTCAATATCGTGCGATAGCTTGTGACACCACATTCACAATTCAACAAGCTGATGCCTTACTCACTCCAGTAAAATCACCAAATACGTTCAGAAAACTTCCAGTTGCATGGTGTCAACAGAATTCAATCCATAGATGATATAGCATAATTCCTGAAACAATGATTATTCAAGAACCTATTAGAAACAACATGGATATTAAGTAGATGGACATTTCACTACATACGTTATTTATAAAAAATAAAACACATAATTACCTTTCTGTACTAGAAGAAATTTTGTCCTCAATAAGTGAATGGAGATAATAAACAGTATCTTTATTAAATCGAAATCGAACTCTATTCCTCATCATCAAATGTCTCCATGTGCTTATAACGACGTCGAAACACAGGATCTCTGCGTGGCTTCGGTAAACGATAACAAAAATCATCTAATTCGACGTCCAAGGCATTTAATAAATACATTTTTAATATTTTTCAATTAAAAACGTATAGCTAATTCCTTCTTGAAAATGATCTGTCAAGTAACAAACCATTAAATAAATTCCTTATCTGACAGATGATCTAACCTATAATTTACTTCGAACTTTATTTGCCAGATACGCTTAACAGACGATTGTGAAACGCCAACGATGACTTTATTCGTCAGATAAGTGGCAAGTAGCTTATTCGGAACTTTATTTGGACATTGTGAAACAGACCCTTAATGTTTTATTACAACATTTAATGCTTAGCTGTTTAGCTGCTTTCACTTGCTGGATTCTGTTTTAGAGAGCTCGGTAACATGCGATATTCTTCACTTTGCTTGCAAAAGCTCCACCACCATACACATACTGTCAGCGTGTACGCGGGCAGCTTCAGCTTGCACGAGAGATGCTTCTACCATAATAAGGGCAGCATTTGCAAGTTTATTTTCAGCTTCTACCCTATTTCTCTCTAATCCCATTACCCATTTTGGCTGAATTCTGGATTGGCCTGATATTAATTAAAAAAAAATATTTAATAGAGCAGCAGCTCAGACCAGCTTGCCAGCCAACTGTGCCTTCAGCATCCACCTGTGATATTCGAAAAACCATATTTAGAAACACGAGACTATAAATTCTCAACCTACCTTCATGTAAGATTTCTAAATACATTCACAATGCAAGTCTTTTACAATTTTAGTAGGAAACCAGTGAAAATAAAAAGGATCTTACCACGAGGGATAACAAATCCAGCACAGAGTTTCCCAGACAGCAATCACAAATAATACGACCAGGAACGTGTTCTGATTTCAACCTCTAGCCATGCACTGTAAAAAAGCGAATTGATAAGAAAACGAAATACGTAAACAAAACAACCACTGGCATGAACAAAACCAAGCAACTACTTACCAGTCGAAGATAATGGATCCACAAAAACTAATTTATCCAATGTCAATTCGAACCGGCGGCAATCTCAAATGACAAGTACGACCAAATGAAGTTAACTTTTACATTCGTCCTTTCGAACAGGCAAAGGTTCATATGACATGCAGCCTAGTCTTTAGAAAAACGACAATTTAGACAAAGTGAAGAAATCACACGTTACAGCCTGTCACTTTGAAGTAAAAAGCTGAAATCCACCATGCATGTGAGGATGGATTTTGCATTTTTAACTATATAATTTTTGTATCCATTTGATTCGAGTTCTTTAGTAATAATTGAAGCACTTATCTCTACACATTGAATAAAGTTTTCATTAGTGTGCGCAATGCACATTTCAGTGCTGTGCTGGATTGGTAAAGAAACAAGAATGTCGTGAAGACAGAAAGAAATTGGTTTATTTTGAGACGTTCTGTACAGATGTTTTCTTATGAAATAAACGGTCTTCTATAACTGCAGGCTCCTCCTCCTCCATCCGGATCCCTATCTTGTTAACATCAACCTGTGACCCAGATGGTTGAGAAGAAGTGGCTGCAAATTCTTCGGCTAGGTTTCACGTGATCCCTGAGAATTTGATGCTACACCCTTTCTCTGGCATCGGCGGCTGAGAAGCAGCTCACGTACTTGCTCTAGATTCTAGGTAGGCACCAAGCACTCTTGAAGCCTTTATAAACTGAGCTATTTCGCTGGGGTTCTTATTAATTTTATAACGGTGATGGGTCGCTATCGTTTCCGTTACGACATCCTCTATCGACATTTCTAAAGAATGGTTGAAAAAGAAAAAGCCAGTCGGAATTTCATATATCGGTTCCACGTACGGGTACTTAAATATGTGGCCCATATAATTAGCTAACTGGTTCAAAATGTTAACGTGATGTTTCAAGCTTAACCGTGTCACTTTTATGTGTTGTTTTTTCATTTGAATGGCCGCAGTGACATATTCAACGACATATTGCGTTTCTTTTGCAATATCTAAATATAATGCTGGAGGTGAAGGCACAACTTCCTGGAGAGATCTTTGGTACGTGTCAGCAAAGTTCGTTAATTCATCCGACTCATCATGTAGAGGCTCAAATTTACCGATCAGATTGCTCTCAGGCTCTAAGATAGATCGGACCACTCTCATTTGTAATAGGCATGCTATGTTTAAAATTGTTTTTACTAGTTTACACGCCGTGCAACGTTTGCAACGGCTCCGCAACTCTTTCCTCGAGGCCACAACAACCTCATCTAAATAATAGTATGTCTGGGCCGGCATGTTTCCCAGACCTCGTCGTCGTGGGCGGTTTTTATAAACGCGTTAAGCGCCACGCTTGAGTCTAAATCGTCGTCACTATTATCGATACGAAGTTTCTCCGGCTGTTTCGATATTAAAATTCTTATATGTCGATCATAACGATGAGATTGAAAAATAAATTTATCAATCTCATCCAAAGTGGGAGGTTGGGCAGACTCCTGCGCGCGAACTGAATCGTTGCTTGGACTCGAGGTACGCGCAATGGGCGCGCTTACCAGAATCCCCTCGAACACCGCTGGAGGCCGCGCTGTTAAACATTTGCCATATTATTTTCGTGTACCCGACCCGAATGGCGTAGTGGGTAGCTTTCCTGCCTCCTGCGCCAGAGGGTGTGGGTTCGATACCCACTACTAGAAAAATATTATGTGATGAACATAATGTTTTTCTATTGTCAGGGTGTTTATAAATGTATAATATGTATTTATTTACAAAAGAAAAGTACATTTAAGTATGTTTATCAGTTTTCTAGTACCCATAGTACTAGCTTTGCTTAGTATGGGACTAGAAAACGATGTGTAAAAATGTGTCTTAAATAAATATTATTTTCGTGTTCTAATTAAAGAGAGATTGTACACTATTAAAAAGTTAGTATTTCAATCTATAATTTACTGGCTAGCGTATACGCTGGTGATATAATAACTTTAACTCAAGTGCTAGAAACTTCTTCACAGTTTCATATCAATCTTATCTAACATGGGCGAAAATTTAAATTATCTGATTAAACTAGTGCGAGAGAGTTCTGCTTTAATGGATACTCTGTCAGATATATATATCTATTTATAATATCTATATTACTGTCATTCGAGTTGGGCGCCTTGTCTGTTAGGAACAGACTGATGTAATAATTACAATTAAGTATCTCAGGGAGTCGCGAGTACATAGGACCTACACATTACTTTGTGCGACCATAAAAAGGTTAGATAATTAAATTAATTTAATATTATGAAAGTTATGCAATTCAATTTAAAAAATAAAGTCCAATCAGGTAGTTATTTTAAATCTATGTCACCGCAGAGACACCTGCCTTGTGTGCACAGGTCAGCGTTGAGCTCAGAACCAGGAGAGAAAACCAGGCCAAGTGTAGTGTATACAGCCACACTGTTGGGGGTATATAGGAGACCTCCTGCCAACAAACACTAAATTGTAGAACTAACAAAGGCAGGGATTTGAATCCACCTACAATTATAAGATGTGAAAAACTTACCAACTGGAGGTAAAAAAAAATATTTAATAGAGCAGCAGCTCAGACCAGCTTGCCAGCCATCTATGCCTTCAGCATCCACCTGTGATATTCGAAAAACCATATTTAGAAACACGAGACAATAAATTCTCAACCTACCTTCATGTGAGATTTCTAAATACATTCACAATGCAAGTCTTTTACAATTTTAGTAGGAAACCAGTGAAAATAACAAAGGATATTACCACGAGGGATAACAAATCCAGCACAGAGTTTCCCAGACAGCAATCACAAATAATACGACCAGGAACGTGTTCTGATTTCAACCTCTAGCCATGCACTGTAAAAAAGCGAATTGATAAGAAAACGAAATACGTAAACAAAACAACCACTGGCATGAACAAAACCAAGCAACTACTTACCAGTCGAAGATAATGGATCCACAAAAACTAATTTATCCAATGTCAATTCGAACCGGCGGCAATCTCAAATGACAAGTACGACCAAATGAAGTTAACTTTTACATTCGTCCTTTCGAACAGGCAAAGGTTCATATGACATGCAGCCTAGTCTTTAGAATAACGACAATTTAGACAAAGTGATGAAATCACACGTTACAGCCTGTCACTTTGAAGTAAAAAGCTGAAATCCACCATGCATGTGAGGATGGATTTTGCATTTTTAACTATATAATTTTTGTATCCATTTGATTCGAGTTCTTTAGTAATAATTGAAGCACTTATCTCTACACATTGAATAAAGTTTTCATTAGTGTGCGCAATGCACATTTCAGTGTGCTGGATTGGTAAAGAAACAAGAATGTCGTGAAGACAGAAAGAAATTGGTTTATTTTGAGACGTTCTGTACAGATGTTTTCTTATGAAATAAACGGTCTTCTATAACTGCAGGCTCCTCCTCCTCCATCCGGATCCCTATCTTGTTAACATCAACCTGTGACCCAGATGGTTGAGAAGAGGTGGCTGCAAATTCTTCGGCTAGGTTTCACGTGATCCCTGAGAATTTGATGCTACACCCTTTCTCTGGCATCGGCGGCTGAGAAGCAGCTCACGTACTTGCTCTAGATTCTAGGTAGGCACCAAGCACTCTTGAAGCCTTTATAAACTGAGCTATTTCGCTGGGGTTCTTATTAATTTTATAACGGTGATGGGTCGCTATCGTTTCCGTTACGACATCCTCTATCGACATTTCTAAAGAATGGTTGAAAAAGAAAAAGCCAGTCGGAATTTCATATATCGGTTCCACGTACGGGTACTTAAATATGTGGCCCATGTAATTAGCTAACTGGTTCAAAATGTTAACGTGATGTTTCAAGCTTAACCGTGTCACTTTTATGTGTTGTTTTTTCATTTTAATGGCCGCAGTGAGGGCGTATTTCATCGCCTTCGCTACCCAGGTCCACCTCACCTCAACGACATATTGCGTTTCTTTTGCAATATCTAAATATAATGCTGGAGGTGAAGGCACAACTTCCTGGGGAGATCTTTGGTACGTGTCAGCAAAGTTCGTTAATTCATCCGACTCATCATGTAGAGGCTCAAATTTACCGATCAGATTGCTCTCAGGCTCTAAGATAGATCGGACCACTCTCATTTGTAATAGGCATGCTATGTTTAAAATTGTTTTTACTAGTTTACACGCCGTGCAACGTTTGCAACGGCTCCGCAACTCTTTCCTCGAGGCCACAACAACCTCATCTAAATAATAGTATGTCTGGGCCGGGCATGTTTCCCAGACCTCGTCGTCGTGGGCGGTTTTTATAAACGCGTTAAGCGCCACGCTTGAGTCTAAATCGTCGTCACTATTATCGATACGAAGTTTCTCCGGCTGTTTCGATATTAAAATTCTTATATGTCGATCATAACGATGAGATTGAAAAATAAATTTATCAATCTCATCCAAAGTGGGAGGTTGGGCAGACTCCTGCGCGCGAACTGAATCGTTGCTTGGACTCGAGGTACGCGCAATGGGCGCGCTTACCAGAATCCCCTCGAACACCGCTGGAGGCCGCGCTGTTAAACATTTGCCATATTATTTTCGTGTACCCGACCCGAATGGCGTAGTGGGTAGCTTTCCTGCCTCCTGCGCCAGAGGGTGTGGGTTCGATACCCACTACTAGAAAAATATTATGTGATGAACATAATGTTTTTCTATTGTCAGGGTGTTTATAAATGTATAATATGTATTTATGTACAAAAGAAAAGTACATTTAAGTATGTTTATCAGTTTTCTAGTACCCATAGTACAAGCTTTGCTTAGTATGGGACTAGAAAACGATGTGTAAAAATGTGTCTTAAATAAATATTATTTTCGTGTTCTAATTAAAGAGAGATTGTACACTATTAAAAAGTTAGTATTTCAATCTATAATTTACTGGCTAGCGTATACGCTAGTGATATAATAACTTTAACTCAAGTGCTAGAAACTTCTTCACAGTTTCATATCAATCTTCACATGGGCGAAAATTTAAATTATCTGATTAAACTAGTGCGAGAGAGTTGTGCTTTAATGGATACTCTGTCAGATATATATATCTATTTATAATATCTATATTATAGTCATTCGAGTTGTCATTCGATTCGGACTGGTATGTAGATAGCTTTTGAGAAAATGCTAAGGCCGCTCGCAAAAATTGCAATAGTTATAAACAATTAAGTGAATAAAAGGGGGTTTGATTTTTAGCCAATATCTCAAAAACTATTTGAAAAAATGTCCCGACTTCCGGAACTGCAGGACCAATATTTATAATTTTCCCAGAGGGTTCAAAATACGACCAAAAATGAGTATTCTGGTTTGCGCTAGCTACGCCCCCTTCGGACCTTTAATGAATAAATCTTTTTTAAACTTATTAAATATGAATATTTAAAATTGAAAAAATTCAGGCGCCTGCAGGATAAATCAATGAATAATAATCCGCGGTCCAAAAATTTTTATCGCTATTTTTTTATAAGTTATTCTTTAGTTAAGTAACAATTTTTTGTATGACAAACATTAACATTGCAAGTGCGATATTTGTTAAACTATTAATCTGAGAATATTTTCAAAGGCTTAGAATAGATTCCCGTCGGAAAAATTAAGCAATTGTTAATTAAACACATTTCTGCTCGACTAACACCGCGGCCGCGGTGCGGGATGATATTCTTTATGATTTCAAGAGAAGGCACCACCGGTTGGCTTTCTGCCAGCCGAGATACAGCCCGATCAATGTCAAAACACAAATGATCATTGCAGGGAAGTGAGCGGCACCGTTAACTTGTTTTAAGAAAAAAACCGTTGTCCAATGGGAAAAGTCAAACTGCCCATTTACTGAATTTGAATTTAATAAATTCAGTGTCATGTATTTTATTTTGGATAAGTAAGTAGAATTATTTTGGGTTTTGGTCCATTAATATATAGATTAATATGTTCGTAAGTTACCACTGGTTCGGAAGGCAGTTTCTGTTGAGAAGAAACCGGCAAGAAACTCAACAGTTGCTCTTTTTTAAAAGGTCAGTTTACAATATAATGTTACAGGTATATATATAGTTAGTATATATGTAGTATAGATATAGTCTTGTTTTAGTCTACGTACTCACTTAATACTGTTGATACTCATCAACAGTATTAACCCCACACATTGGCGTCGTCAAGATATTCAGCAATAGTATAATAGGCTTTGGCCATAAGTTTACTTTCAATTTTTTTTAAATTCATCAAGTGGCAGACTTAATATCGACTGTAGGATTTTATTATACATGCGCACCCTTTGCCCCATGAAAGACCTGTTTACTTTTTGTAGACGAAACAATGGCGTAGTTAGTTTGTCCTTATTTCTAGTATTTAGTTTATGTCTGTCACTATTCCTTAGATAATTATTAATATTATGTTTAACATACAAAATATTACAATAAATATATTGAGACGTAAAAGTGAGTATATTAATCTCTTTAAAAAGGTCTCTGAGTGTATTCCAGGCTCCGATGTTATAGATTGCTCGGACAGCTCTATTTTGAAGAATAAATATAGAATTTATATCAGTTGCACTACCCCACAACAAAATGCCGTAAGACGAGATGCTGTGGAAATAACTGAAATAAACAAGTCTGGGAGTGTCGATGTCTGATAGCTGCCTAACCTTCCTAATTGCAAAAACAGCGGAGCTTAACCTGTTCGCAAGAGATGATAAATGGGGACTCCATTGGAGCTTTGAATCCACTGTAATTCCCAAGAATACAGCGGACTCAACAGGATTAAGGGTTACGCTATTTAATTTTAAGCTAAAACTTTGCCTTCTTACACTGGGAAGGGTAAAAAAAAGGCATTTCGTTTTTTTAGCATTTAACACCATATTATTAACAGTAAACCAGTGGAGGATACGCGAAAGTGCACCATTCACATCGTCATAATTCGACACGTTCCGGTCAACCTTAAAAATGAGCGATATGTCGTCAGCAGACAGTACAACATTACATAACTCACTGGCATAAAAGGGGAGATCATTTATATACACTAAGAATAATAATGGACCCAAGATTGATCCTTGTGGGACACCCATTTTCATGGGGGACCCTGCGGAATTAACATCATTTATAGATACTTTTTTAATTCTATTACTAAGGTAAGAGGCAATGAGATTGAGGGCGATTAGATAATTGTTGACGAATGCTTTCTAACTGAACTATTTGATGGTTTGCATCAGTATCAAAAATATGTTTATGAACGGTCGACTGTAAGGCACCCGAATAAAAGGATACAACAGCTACAGCACAGCGGCCAGAATATGATCGACGTTTCGAAAAAAAAAAATCACTCTTTTTCTGCCAACTAATTTCGCTACTCTGGCGTTAAAGCTCTCCACTAAGTTGTTCGTTTCGTTGTGTACGAAACTGTAGGTGAGGAACGATAAACGATGAGCCAAATCTTCTACTTTTTGGAACACTCCATTTACTTTAAATTCCGGCACCGTATTTTCGGAACGTTTCTTGATTTCATCGTTACAGAAATATGATGCACATTTTGAATGATCTCCGAAAATGTGATATGGACCATTAGTAATATCGTAATTAGTATTAATTTATAGACAAACATTATGTCAGCAGCTTTCCTGCGTGAAGAAGGGGGTAGAAGTCCAAAATGTGACAAACGATCAGTGTAAGACTTAAATAATCGACATGTGCGATTACTGTAACATAGGTGGTATAAAAAACGTTTCTGGACACGCTCTATTCGATCTGAATAAGTAATGTAATGAGGACTCCATACATTGCTACAATATTCCAATTTACTCCGCACGAGAGAATTATACAATAGTATACTAATACATGGTTGGCCAATTTTTTTCATTTCCCTGCTAAACCCAGATAGGCGTGAAGATTTATTTATAATGTTATCTCTATGGTCTGTAAAACTTAATGAGCTGTCGATAATCACCCCTAAATCATTAATGCGTTCTACTTCCTGTATCTTTCGGTTCTCAAGTGAAAAGTTGCCGTTTTAATATTTTTGGAATAAATTTTATATGAAAACATTTATCAAAATTCATTGATATATAGTTAGATGTACACCAAGAAGCTACATTATCGATTTCGCTAATTTCCACTTTGAAGGGATTTTCGTCAAACATTGACAGTGATTCCACGATCAACATCAGCTGATGAACTCAATGCATGTCTGAAAGTAGTCCAATTTGTGGAAACATCTCAAAGTACTTCATTTAAGCAAGAATATGCGTGTCGAGTTGCAAAATGACCAATCTGGAAACATATTCTCTTAACAACTCATTGACATTGGTAATGGCAAATTTCCTATAGACATGTTGACTGGCTGTATTAACATTCCTCAAAGTTTTTGTCGATCAAAAGATGAACTTATTCAGAAGGTGTTTCCAGATGTTTCTCAAAATTACAGAAACCATGATTGGTTGAGCGAACGAGCTATATTGGCTGCAAAAAACATAGACGTAAATGAATTAAATTTAAAAATACAAGAACAAATTACAGGCGAATCAAGGATATCTAAATCAGTTGATTCGGCTACTGAGCAAGATGATGTGGTGAACTATCCACCAGAATTTTTAAACTCGCTGGATTTGCCAGGATTGCCACCTAAAAATCTTCAATTAATGGTTGGATCGGTATTTATAATGTTGCGAAATATCAACCAACCGCGTCTTTGCAACAGCACACGGTTAGCAATAAAAATTACTAAACAACGTGATAGAAGCAACTATAGGAGAAGACGTTCTCATACCGCGCATCCCATGATTCCGAATTATGTGCCGTTTGACTTAAAACGACTACAGTTTCCAGTTCGGCTTGCTTTTGCTATGATCATAAACAAGTCCCAGGGGCAATCATTAAGTGTTTGTGGTATTAATCTGGAAAACCCATGTTTCTCACATGGTCAATTGTATGTTACCTGTTCCCGTGTTGGAAAACGATCAGATTTGTTTGTCTATGGGCCAGATAATCAAAAAAACACCGTATATCACAAAGCACTACAATGAAAATAAAACTGATTTTTGTTAATAATTATGATTCACATGATTAACAATAAAGAGATTACTTATTTTTAAATGCTTATATATGTTTTATTTAATTATATTTCTTATTCACAACGCCCTATCACCAGGGTGACCGTTCTGTTCAGGAGAATTTTTTGCCCCGACTATAAAATATGTAGGAACAAAAAAATGTCACATTACAAATCATTTTGACAGGACTTTATTGCAATTTAATTAGGCAGTACGAAATCTGCCGAGTCAGGTAGTTATTTATAATTGGAAATGTTTATAATTTTCAACAATTCCTAAGTAAAATTAAAATTTATGTTTTCATTTATGGTAAAAAGTTAAAAGTTAAAATTACACATTTTTAGCAAAATTCAAGTTAATTGTTAAGAAAAACCTACCAAAACGTTAACGAGAACATATATTTATTGATATTATAATATGTTTATGCCTTTAAATGGTGAATTTAATGAAAATAAATGCCATTAAATTTTTAGTGAATGCAAGTTGATAATAAAACGCAGCAAGAAGTTTTGACAGACTAAAAAATTTATTAAATGACAGATTACATATATCCAGATAAGGTGGCGCCACATGACTCGTTTTGAACATTTCAATATTTATATACTAATATCTCCTCTTATTGAAATAATGAAAAACAATTAGGTATATTTACAAATTATGTACTAATATAATTTTACAATACCTATTATTTGCATGAAAGTAGTATGTTTCATTTTACATAAACTTTTTGTAAACAAATCAGCTGGCATTTCTGAAGTACTTAAAAATGCAATCTTAACAAGTTTCTTTTTTACTGCTTCTCTAATATAATGAAACTTAACATCTATGTGTTTGGTTCTTCTATGATACATTGAGTTTTTTTGACAATTTTTGTGCACTCTGGTTGTCGTTATACAATAATACTGGTGCATTTTCTCTATTTATGAGTTCTGATAATAACCTTTGTAAAAAAAATTGCTTCTTTACTAGCCTCACAGATGGCCATGTATTCAGCTTCTGTGATGGACAGAGCCACGGTTTGCTGTTTTCTACATTCATGAGAAACAATACATCCTGAATATTTAAAGCAGTATCCAGTATAGGATCTCCTATCCACACTATCTGAGGCCCAATCTGCATCTAAATCTCCAATCAACATATCCAACTAAATCTGAATTATTTTTTATATACATTAAACCATAAGATTTTGTAGAATACAAATATTTCAAAATTCTTTTAGCTTGTTTCCAATGAGTTTCATTATTACAATTATTGAATTGACTTAAATAACTTACAGAATATGATATATCTGGCCTCGTAAGTACTGAAAGATACATCAAACTACCTATTAGTTGTTGATAAGGGTATTTGCTAGTTATACTATCACTTTTCTTTAGCTTCAAGTTTACCTCCATAGGGGTGTCCACAGTTTTACAATTTACCATATTAAATTTATATAATAATTTTTTATTTTTAAGTAGAGTATTTGAGCACAGGTGAAAAAGTTTCTGTATAGTCAATTCCCTCTTTTTGGGTAAAACCTTTGGCAATTAATCTCGCCCTGTACCTCACTGTGTTATCACTATTTAACTTCTTTTTATATACCCACTTGCACTGAACAACACTAGCATCATAGGGTCTGTCCACTAGTTCCCATGCTTTATTGTCATGGAATGACTTCAGCTCGTCCTCCATTGCCTTGCACCACATTTCCCGTTCATTGCCATTCATAATATCTTCATAAGTTAAATTTTCTTCATCTATACGTCCCTAAATTTTTAACTGGTTCTATGTTTGTCTTTTCCGGCACAGCGTCAGAAAAGTCTTCAGAAGTTGTAGAACACAAAGAATCCTGGTCACTTGGTATGTATGTGTGGTCTGTATGATCACTCACGGTTTGATCTTGTTCTTCTTCGTCCCTACCTGTATCTTCTTTCTTCTCCTCTATCACAGCTTGAACCATGTCTGAGTTTTGTCTAGGCTCCATGATAACAACATCTCTGCTGGTGATAATGCTCTGCCAATGCCTTTTTTTAGTCCAGAGCTCATAAGGCGTTTTTTCTTTAAACCTGACGCCATGGTACGATTTCGCAGGTACACTGCTGTGTTTACCGCTTCAGCTCAAAACTTTTTTTCCATTTTAGCGTCAAAGAGAAGAGACGTCATCGAGCTCTTTCAACCACAGTTCTGTTTAACCTTTTACACATGCCATTCTGCTCTGGCGTGTAGGTGTTTGTTTTTTGATGCACAATCCCAGCTTTCTTCAAAAAACTTTCAAATTCCGAAGAACTAAATTCTCCACCATTGTCAGTTCTCAGTACCTTGATGGACTTTCCCGTTTGCTTCTCTGCCATAACTTTGAACTCTTTAAAGTACATCATCACTTCTGTCTTAGACTTAAAAAAATATACAAATGACATTCTGCTGTAATCATCTATAAGTAGAAGAAAATACTTTGACATTCCTATTGATACTTGTCTCGTATTGGACATAAATGCAAACACAAAGTGTCTGGATAATTTACATTTATTTTGAAATTACTTCACAGTGAAAATAATATGAAAATATGTGAGAGCGCAATGTTGTCCGTTACAAAGTTGAATGATTTGTGTCGCAGGGAGATACTATTTTACAGACGTTCAAATATGATTTTATAACGATGCGTTGTTGAGTCTGTGTAATAAATTGCTTCATAAAAACTTGGGCGCAGACATCCTCCCCCCGTTGAAAGGCGATGGCTTTCAAACTCCTAATCTTTGGAGTCTTCTGCAGTAGGCAGAGGACATAGTCGAGCGATGGGGCGGCGAACACATCCCTTTGTTGTGTAGACATCAGCTACTCGGGCCACGCCGTCTGAACCAGGAAACAGTCGTTGTATGCGCCCGAAACGCCAACAGAGAGGTGGCGCATTGTCTTCATGAAGTAGGACCATATCTCCAACTTTCAAGCTGGAACAGTTAGACTTCCATTTACAACGTTGTTGCAATTCGGAGACATATTCCCGTTGCCAGGGCTTCCAAAAATGATGATGTATTTGTTGTATTCGTTCGTATCGTTGAAGATTGTTGCAATTGATGTCTTCCAAGGTAGGTGATGGCAGTGCAGTGAGAGCTCGGCCAATGAGAAAGTGTCCAGGAGTCAGAACTTATTATGTCTTTTCTTAAATTCGCGACACGGCCCTAGCCTACAATTTCGCACATCGTGACCATAGCGTAAGCAATTCAAACATAACTTTAATTTTTTAGCTTCGGAGATACGATCATGTACACTCTTAGATTTAAATTTAGCGCAATCATAAATTCTATGATCACCATGACAAACGACACAAGAAAAAGAATTTGTAATATTTGTTTCACTACTGCAAGCAAAGGTTTTTGTTTGTGGTCGTTCAGGCTTATTAAATGATCCTAATCCTAATGGCCTTGAAACCTTGTTATTAATGCTAGACGAATTTTGCAACGACTCCAAAACATCGGCACGGTCTATTAAAAATTTGTGAAATTGTTGCAAATTAGGCACATCATCAAGCGTACCACGCCATTCTTCCCACTTAGTTAAAGTTCGGCTGTCAAGTCGCGAACTCATTATATGTACGATAAGCACATCCCACTTGTCAGTAGGCTGCCCTAAGCTGGCTAATGCACGTAAATTTTTTGTTACGTGATCTACAATAAAACGAAGTGACTTAACGGATTCTCTTGACAATTGTAAATTAAGCAAAGAATTTAAATGATGATTAATAAGTTGCCGTTTGTTGTCATACCGTTCGCACAACAAACTCCACGCAGTTGAGTAATTAGCACTCGACACTTCCAAATTAGAAATAATACGAGATGCATCGCCCTCTAAATAAGAAATTAAGTAATGGAATTTGTGTACAGGTGCTATACGTTCGTTGTTGTGAATTAGCGATAAAAAAGTGTCTCGAAATTCAAGGCAGCGGAAATAAGCTCCGTCAAATTTCGCGATTTGAATTTGTGGCAATTTAAAATTAACTTCACGATGTTCACTACCAGGAGATGAAGAACAGCTATCAAACTTAGGTTCTCTATTGCAATCATTGCTAGAAATTTTCGGATGATTAATTTGTATAATGTTTTGAGCAACAGCAATGTTAGAAAAAAAATAATTGTTCAATATCGTCTCGTTCATCAATTTCGCTATCTAAGCTTGATGAATTTAAGAGCTCAATCTGGTTTTGCAAAACATCAAATTTATTTGATAATTTTTCAAATTTGCTAAGCTTTAATGTTAATTCCGATAATTCGATTGCAGACAAAGTATCCTTTAATGATATATTTGTTAAATAATTTTTAAATTTGGTAATTTGTCCCCTTACAGAGCTGCGTTTTAGTAACAAGTCTTGCAAATTTGCTGTGTCTTTGTGGCTCATTTCCCCACCAAAATCTTTATTTTTATTCATATTAATAAGTTAACGCAATAAACTAAATATAATTTTATGTTAAAATTTCTAGTATGAAAATTCAAATAAAAATATCGAAGTTAAATTCAACAAAATTATTAACTAATTTTAACTAAAAATTTCTAGAATAAATAAGATGAAGGATAATGAAAATATAATACGCAAAGAATTTAGCTCACGTGCCCTTCTTGGCGTCACCTGGTAGGCAAGCGTTGCAATTATTGCACTCCGTACACCGGAATTACACGTTCGGAACTCGTTAACTGGAATATTCGGCAAATCGTGTTGAAATATCTTTTCAAAGACTTTGTTTCAAGAGTATTTCATGTGAATGTAGGAAATAAGCGTTGAAATATTTCACAAAGAACAAAGAAGTTAATGAGATATCAAAGTACCCCCACTTTATAAAATATTAAAAATTGTTAATTTTAATGAAATATCGTGAATGATTTTAATAATATGAAGTAATTAAATGTTTTAAAGTAATAATAAATGAAGTTTGCATAAGTAGAAATAAGGTTTTATGGTAGTTAGCGTTGAATAGACGGGAATTTTGGGAAGACACTTAGCTGCATTGGCTTTGCTGCGGAGCGACGCTGATGGCTGATCACTGTCCGGCGATAGCTGCAATGGCTTATTCTTCGAAATATCCCGGGGCAAAATGGTTTAGGAGACGACAGGTGGCTGCGATATAATGGTTGATCGGCGTCCCTAACGTCTTGAAAATTCGTCTTATTTCTAGCTTGTCCTGTCACTTTCGCCAATTTTTTATGTCTCGTATTGGACATAAATGCAAACACAAAGTGTCTGGATAGTTTACATTTATTTTGAAATTACTTCACAGTGAAAATAATATAAAAATATGTGAGAGCGCAATGTTGTCCGTTACAAAGTTGAATGATTTGTGTCGCAGGGAGATACTATTTTACAGACGTTCAAATATGATTTTATAACGATGCGTTGTTGAGTCTGTGCAATAAATAGCTTCATAAAAACTTGGGCGCAGACAATACTGTCTCCATGGGACCACAAACATCCGCATGTACAACCTCCAATACACTGTCACACCTTGAACCTGTGTGTGAAAAAGGCAATCTCGCTAACTTCCCTTCACAACATGTGATACACTGGGATTTGTCAATTTCAGCCTTATCGGAGTAGGAAATGCCCTCTACAGCACCATTCTTCATGCTGTTCAGATTTTTACTGTTTCTATGGCCCAACCATCTATGCCATAACATATTTTCTTGCATCGCTGGAACTGCCAATAAACATTCTTGTTTGAACAACTTATACGTTTGTTTGTCCAACTTATACACTCCATTCACTAAAAGTGCTTTTGAAACAAGTATATTGTTTTTATTATATATTTTGCAAATATTTTCTCCAAAAGTCACTTTATTTTTGTTTCGAATCAACTCACTAACTGAGAGAAGATTAGTAGTGAGGTTAGGAATGCATATGACATTTTGCACGTTAATATTATGCTCTGAACCATCCACTTTTGTCGTCAACTTCATCTTTCCCGAGCATAGGACTGGTACTGTTGTTTTATTAGCAACTACAATTTCTTTTATGGACGGGTTACAGGAAATATCTGACAAACGTTCTCTGTCGCAAATCATATGGGTGCTAGCACCGGAATCAACATACCAATCCGTTTTCTTGTACGTTAAGTTTGAGAAAAAACCACTAAGCAAGTAGTAACACCGATACTGCAAGTCCTTCAGAAGCTCTTCAATTCCGTCCTATACGAGGGTACTACGCCCAGAACATGGAACGGAGGCATGGTGGTCCTCTTCTTCAAGAAAGGTGACAAAACCTTGCTGAAGAACTACAGGCCCATCTCGCTTCTGAACTATGTTTATAAGCTGTTTTCGAGGGTGATCAAGAATCGTCTCGCACGCAGGTTTGATGACTTCCAGCCTCCCGAACAAGCCGGTTTTCGTAAAGGCTATAGTACCATAGACCACATTCAGACGCTGCGGCAAATTATACAGAAGACTGAAGGAGTATAATTTGCCACTATGCTTAGCGTTTGTGGACTATGAGAAAGCCTTCGATTCGATCGAGACTTGGGCAGTGCTGCAGTCTCTTCAAAGGTACCACATTGACTATCGGTACATCGAAGTGTTAAAGTGATTGTATAAAAACGCCACAATGTCGGTCCGAGTACAGGATCAGAGCACGGAGGCTATTCCGTTGCAGAGGGGAGTGAGGCAAGGAGATCTTTAAACTCTTTACCAATGCAATGGAAGACGCCTTCAAGCTCCTGGATTGGAAAGGATGTGGCATCAATATCAACGGCGAATACATCACTCACCTTCGGTTTGCCGATGACATCGTAGTCATGGCAAAGTCTTTGGAGGAGCTCAGCACAATGGTCGAAGACCTCAATAGAGTCTCCCAGCGGGTGGGTCTGAAAATGAACATGGAAAGGACCAAAGTCATGTCAAATGTCCATGTGACGCCCACCCCCGTATTGTTGGGAGGCTCGCCACTCGAAGTTGTTGATAGCTATGTCTATCTGGGACAAATGGTCCAACAAGGCAAATCCAACTTCGAGAAGGAGGTCAATCGACGAATCCAGCTCGGCTGGGCTGCGTTCGGAAAACTGCGCAGCGTCTTTACGTCCAAAATACCACAGTCCTTAAAGACGAAAGTCTTTAACCAGTGCGTGATACCAGCGATGACCGACGGTGCCGAGACGTGGTCTCTCACTATGGGCCTCATAAGGAAGCTCGCGGTCGCACAGCGCGCTATGGAAAGGGTAATGCTTGGGGTTTCTCTACGAGATCGAATCAGAAATGAGGAGATCCGTAGAAGAACTAGAGTTACCGACATAGCAGAGCGAGTCAGCAGGCTGAAGGGGCAGTGGGCAGTGCACATAGCTCGAAGAACCGATGGCTGTTGGGGCAAAAAGGTTCTCGAGTGGAGACCACGTGACGGCAAGCGCAGCATAGGAAGGCCTCCCACAAGGTGGACGGACGACCTAGCTAAGATCGCTGGGACGCGTTGGATGCAGGCCGCTAACGACCGGTCGAAGTGGAAGTCAATGGGGGAGGCCTATGTTCAGCAGTGGACGTCCTACGGCTGATATGATGATGATGATGATAGGACATAAACAATGTCAGGAGTATGCACTAAGCACTGGTTAACCTAAGCTAAAAAAAAAACAGAGTAATGGGTTACCATTAATATTCCCAAAACCTGTTCACGGATTCCTGGGTATCTGGCTCGAAGGACCCTGAAGGTACGGTTCCTTGATACAGTTTTTGGGATTTAATATTGAGTGTATACGGAAAAAGAAATACGGTTCCAGCTCGACAAATGGTTTAATGCGAAGTGACATTAAATATAACAAAACAAAACAAATAAAAAGCAAACAAACCACTAGATGTACGTTGCTATTTAAAAGTAGCAGGCTTTGCGAACACCATTCTTTCCGGGACCACCCTGTATAGTAAAGATATATGGCAGTACTAAGTACTAAGTATGGAATATTATCTATTCCATTTAATGGATATTTTATGTTTTAAAGTAAAATTAAATTTACGAAAAATTTTTTTTAAATTAATTAAAAATTAATGAATAAACGTGGACAATTACGGATTCTAATGGAGCATTTCAAGAGCAATTAATTGGCATATCGTTTAATTAAAAAAAATATTCTACGCTAACTTCCTTCCGGTCACCCATTATTACAAAGAAAGTATTGATAAGCCAAAAATGCAGTAAAATCAATAGACAAAAACTCTATGTGATCAATGTTAGCATAAGATAACTCGGGTAACACAGATGTAAATTGTTTAGGTAAAAACTCTGATTAAAGTTAGCATAAAACAATTCAGGTAAAGCAGATTTAAATTGAGTAGGCAAAAAATTACTTTAGCTGCTAACCTACGACATTTTTCACGTGTATGTCCATAGCTCTTGCAATAGAAGCAATAGTGACGTCTGGTGTTCGCGAACGGAGTAGAAGAGCCGTGGGGTTGTAGAGACGACGGTGGGTGTGGCACCACGGAGCAGCGAGGAGAACAGGGTAGGTGCCGTGGGCTCTGAACTCGGCGGCGGGCGCATGCGGCTTGGGCGCGCTCTGTGGCGGTAGTGGTGGCCTGGTCGTTGACCCCGGGCGGCGGCGATACTTGCGGCGTGACGAGAAGGTGGCGGAAACTGGCGTTGGCGCAGTTTGTTCTGAAGGCCACTGGTTGATAGACTCGTCGCAAGATTATTCTATCTCTCTAGACTTTTTGAGTAGCGTGTCGAATGTATCAATCTCCTCTCTTCTCAAACGCTGGCGTATTTTACTATGTAATAGTCCGTACACCACGTCCATCTGTGCTTTGGTTGTGAGATCGTCCTTTGGTTGACGTGATAGTAACGCTAGAGTTTTAGAGACGAAAAGTTCTGTTTTCTCACTTGCTAGTTGTGGGCTGGGGAATAGCTACTTGTATATATGATGTGAAGGTCGGCTATCACCAAACGCACTTCTTAGGGATGTGAGGGCGTGGTCCCACTTGTTTATGGTGGTCTTAACTCCTTGCCACCATGTTGCAGCTTCATAAGTTAACAACATTGACAGCCCACGTAGTGTTAAATCATGTAGAAAAAGTACGAAAAGATTGTCGCCGCTGTGGGAATCGAACCCACGTCTTCGGCATTCGCGGCCTGACGCTCTAGCCACTGAACTAAACGGCTGATAGCCACAGCGACGAAAATCTTAACGCCTTCCTTCTACATTGTTATTTAGCATTTGAAACAATGCTTGGCGCATCTATTGTTATATCCTTTCCAGCATACAAACAATTTCGAATATCGTTTTAACAACGATAATTCGAACGAGAGATGTCGCCATTGCTTTTTATAAATTTTAAAGTTTTTTTAAGTGCTAATCTCTGCACTTAAGATTGAACATTAAAACATGTAGAAAAAGTACGAAAAGATTGTCGCCGTCACATAAATACATGGTTCATACACAGATTGACACACACAATAACACGTAGAGACTTGAAATTTGGTAGGAATATCTCTTTCGCCGAGTAGAGGTCAGCAAAGCGGATCAGCTAATCACTACATACTAGACGTCGCTGTCTGTCCTTCCCTATGTATGCTTAGATCTTTAAAACTACGCAACAGATCTTGATGCGGTTTTTTACTAGATAGAGTTATTCAAGGGGAAGGTTTATATGTACAACACATTGCACCCGCGCGAAGCCAGGGCGGGTCGCTAGATGAATATTAAAAAAAGCAAAATAACACCATAAAACTAAGTGGAAAAATATTTATAGGCTAATAGCTTCTTGAGCTGAGAATCACTGGTAAAGTATAAATCAGGTGTGGCCAACTTTGGTGCACATAAGATCTACTTTTTATTTTAAAATTGTGTCGCGATCGACCTATTTTTTAGGTAAGAAGGGGATGTTTTTGCAATGTGCTTTTATACCGACGTGCACTTTGGCGAGCTCCATGATTAAGGGGTAAATAATCTACATACATGAGTATTTATTTAATGGGTTAAAAAACTTATGTCCAGAGGAATTAAAACAACATGAGCACTTATTAATAACATTTATTCATTCAAACTTTTTAAATTAATGAGAAACCTGAGTCTGCATTTCCTTTACTAGTGCATCATAATTTGGAGTATATCCTGACAAAGACAATAACAATGAGTCCTCAGTATGAGAATCGGTCAGGACGGAACGAAGTTTAGTTTTAGTCAATTGTAAATATGAAAATGCCGATTCGCACAGATACGTAGATCCAAAGCAAGAATAAATATATTCGCTACATTTGATAATATTGGGATACTTTTCTCGGTTAACATATTTCCAAAAATTTTCTTCAAATTTTCTGGCTTGTAAGATTAAATCAGATTGTAAAATTATAATTTCATTTTCCAAGGCGTTTTGCTCGATATCAAATAAGTCTGCAATTTTTTTGCTAAATCTTTTTTGAAAGGAAAAGATGTAAATTCCACAATTTCTTTAATTTTTTTAAAATCTTGGAATCGCTTCTCAAAATCTTCCATTACATTTTGTATTTCGGCCACGTACTTGTCAATCTCATAAATAATATTTTTATTTTTTTGTAAGTTGTCTGCCATATTTGGAAAATGGTTCATATTATTTTGTTGTAAATCTTCTATCAACAAAATAAATTTGGTTTTATATGCATCTATGCTGCTAATCATATCAATCATTGTTTTATTTTTACCTTGTAATTCTAAATTTAAATGACTTAATATGGAAGTAAAATCTGTAAGGAATGCTAAGTCACTAAGCCAGGTTTTGTCATTTAAATATGCATATTTTTTCTCTTGTTCATTAAGAAATTCTATTATTTCAGGCAATAAATCACGAAATCGTTGCAGAAATTTACCTCTACTTAGCCATCTTACATCAGTATGCAATAATAAATCAGACTGACCTTCATCGAGATTTGGTTGAAAAAGACGATGTTTGAGAGAACTTCCACGAATTGAATTAACAATTTCAAACGCGGTGTCCATTACTTCTTTTGTATTTAGTCTCTTGCTGGATAATACTTGCTGGTGAATTATACAGTGGTAACTCAAAAAATCTGGGAATTCATCGTCATTTCGACATAGGGCTATAAATCCATTTTTGCGGCCTATCATTGCAGCTGCGCCATCCGTTGTTATTGAAACTAATTTATAAAGAGGTACTTTCTTATCATTAAGCAGACTTTTAAACCCGTTGAATATATCTACACCTCTAGTCCTTTCTTTCAAAGAAATCATACCCAACAATTCTTCTTTAGATGTAAAATCTTCAAAAACTAAACGAATGAAAACAAGTAACTGTGCAGTATCACTTATATCTGTCGATTCATCACATTGAAGAGAAAAACAAGAGCATCTGTTAATATCATTTTGTAACTGTTCCTTTAAATTTCCACCCATCTTTTCGATTCGTCGCATCACTGTGTTTCGGGACAGTTGTAGATCTTGAATTGCAGCAGTAATTTCGCTCTTGTTCTTAAAATCATTAAAAAGGGAATCCGAGATTTCCAAGAACATTTCCTTTACAAATTCACCATCAGAAAATGGTTTACATTTTTTAGCTAATAGATAGCTTACTTTGAAGGATGCAGTTGTTACTGCTTGTGACTTCAATATTGGCTTTTTGAAAATATTTTGTTGATTTGTTAATTGAGTTTTAAGATCCCGAACATTACGTTTTCGTAATTTGGTGGATAATCTGTTTGATACTTGTTATGTAAAGATAAGAAATGTCTCTCCAAATTACCCTTTTTAGCAATGGCTATCGAGCTAAGACATATTAAGCAGCAACATTTATCATTCACCATCGTAAAAAAATAGTTAATTTCCCATTCTTCATTGAAATGATATGTTTTCGATTTTTTTGGTTTGCTATCCATGTTCATAAATAGGTATACTAAAATGCAAAAAATATACGACTTAATAATAGGGCATGTAATAAAAATGTTATATTCAAATTAATCAAATGTTATTATTTTAATAGTCATAAATTTCTCAGAAGTGTAAATACAAGTCAATTTTAAACGCACTGTATTTCAGATTTATCAAATAAACATCATTTATATACGTTTTTATATGTATTGTATAAGTTTTTATCATAAGCCGAAGTATTATGCTTATTTTGTAATATCCCAATTCAAATAAATTTTATATAGGTAGCAAAAAGTAGCAGCAGCAAAAAAGTTATCTACCGACAAAAGCTTTAAATAGAAAACAGAATTGCAAAAGTGCAAAGAAAAAGAACTTAATAAAACCATTTCAAATGTCAAAACAAACTTAAAAAAATAATGATAATATAAAAATTATATCCTTTCTATGAGCTAATCACAGAAAACATTTGAATAAAAAGTATTTGTACTTTTTAAGTTAAAAGTTTTTATGAGATACTTTTCGCAAACCCCGTACTTGCGAGTGATCGACCAAAATTGGTCTCGCGATCGACTTGTTGGCCACCCCTGGTATAAATCAATGTCTACACTAGGCAGTATGTTATTAAATGATTTGCACGACCGTATCATGAAAGCATTACTTCGATAATTGCTATTGAACAATGGTATAGATAGAAGATATGGGTTACGTGCGTTACGAGAGTAAACCTGAAGTTCTATCCTACTTAACAATTCTGCGCAATTTATGATACCCTTGGCTATTTTAGTAAGGAAAGGTAGGAAGAATATTGGAATTTGCTACATCGACGATTATAGTAAGGTATATATATTGTTTAGTTTTGAATTATAAAAAGCGGTTTTATTTTAGTTATTTTACGGTGGTAGAGCCTCGCAGCAGCCTCGGCTGTTGCACGAATGGGCAGGCTCGTCCGGGTAAGTACCACGATCTCACAGAAGATCGGCGTAAAGTGGAAGTATGACAAATACTTTCGCGTTTCGTCTGGTGAGTGAGGTAGCCGGAGCCCAATTTCCAAAAAGGTTGTCAACGCATTTGCAAACCCTCTGGTGTAGCAGATGTCTATGGGCGGCGGTATTCACTTAACATCAGGTGAACCGTCTGCTCGTTTGGCAACTTTTCACATAAAAAAAAAGCACAAAAATCCTGTGAAAATCCTGAGAAAGCCTGTGATTGACCCGGTCATTGAGCAACAGAAATTAGCATTATTAAAGTCTTCTGATGGTAATGTGCAGCACTACACAACAATTAAAAAAAATGGTTTACAAACCAAAAGAGCTTGAACGCGGATAAATCCAAAAATAAAGCCGCTGAGGCCTAATTGTCAACGACGCTTTAGGTTCGTTAGCTCTTTCATGGCTATGATGGCTTCAACCTTCCCGTTATCTGGCTTAATACCTTATCGGAGCATCTTGTCAATTTCTAACTTCATGATTTCTATCTTTGCTGGCGTGAGCCGGTACCGGCTCACAACTGACAAGGTACTGATTTTTCTGTACCGAATAAAAATTTTTTACGCCAAAAAACACCCGGAAACTTAAGGAAACTAATACCTAGAAGAATTTTGAATTTCTATTAAAAAGCTAGTAATTCTACTAAGGCACTTTAGGCAATGGAATTTTATGAAGGAGATTTATAATTGGCATACTGCCTAATGAATGAATGAATGAATGAATATTCTTTATTGCACACACCATGGTAAAAAGAATACATTAAAAATAACAATTATGCAAGGGTTGTACAATGGGCGGCCTTATTACTTAAAGCAATTTCTTCCAGGCAACCTTTGGATGGACATAATGGAAAAGAATATTTTAGGGGTAAAATTCTATATATTTTATAAGATAAATACATTCTTTATTGTAAAAAATAAATAAATGAATAGATAAATGAGTACATAAATAACAAAACAAATATATATATATATATATATATATATATATATACAAATAATTATTAATTTATTAATTAACTAATATTATTAATTTATATAAAAGCCTACAGGCTAACAGTAAACTAACGCAACTCAAGTGAGAGCAAGTGCTAAGAATCCCATGTGGGTTGCAACAGAATGGCTGAATATCTGTGTTGCACATTTTACCTTCATTTTAAAAATCTTTGTTGGCAAAACATGATTTTCCGTCAAG